TCTGCTTTCGGATCCAGGCGAAGGTATAACTCGACATAATCGGTTCATCCTATAGTCAGCCTGATTTGTTTGAGTATGGAGCACCTAGATGACTCCTGGAGTGCTCGTGCGACATAAATGTCATAGAGCGTCCACAAATCCGAGTATAATTGATTTTTCACATAGCATGTGTCTAACCTACAACTCGCAGCACTACCGCGCTTGTAAATCTAGAGCGTATATCTGCTGGCATTTGAGGGTAGATTATGTAGCCGATAGGAACTTCTACAGTATCGATTATCTAGGCGTCCTCATTCAAATGAGATCGGGGACTCGCGGAATATGTTGGTCGAAAATGCATGGAATTTGTGTATGCAGTAAAGCCTAGCTGGCTATGCCAGCATACATATTACAGACTCAGTAAACATTCTCCATTAAAACTGGTATAGAGCCCACATCTTTCGTATAATTTTTCACAACAAACGTCTGACCTCGGTTTCTCTGCGCCGACGTACCACAGGCAAACTGACAACGGCCCTTCGACCATGATCAGTGCTTCGTATCCCGAGTGGGATGATCTCTTCGGTCAATACGTACAGGTGAGTTGTCGTTTTGGTGTTTGTAAAGTATCGACTCGTTGATAATTTTAATTTAAGGATAGCGTCAAAGATGAGCTATGAATATTTCTCCGCTCTGTATATCCCGCAAATCGAAAGTCACTTCTGTCTAATAACTTGTCAAGTATATGGATACAGACACATCGCATGTCGCATTGATGAATATTCGAGAGGGCGAGAATCGGTTTGGTGTAAAACTCCAATATACACTGCGTCTACCACTGGGTGGAAGTAAAAAATTACGCAAGGCCCCATTTTCCTCATATTTATAAAGTCGCATACTATCTGCCATCGACCGCTGCCTATATGGTTTATAATTATAAATTAATGCGTTAGCGTCTTTGTCAGAATTAATTCTTTGGTATATATCTGAAAGGACACTTTTAAACATTTCAATCCGTGTTCTACCGCACTCCAGTTTCCGGTGTCGACAATCAGTGTGCTGTCATATACCGGGCGGCCTCCAAGGGCCCAGGCCGGGGAGCGTGACGACCCACAATACAACACCAAATGCAGGAAGGTATCAAACAGAGAAGCCCTTCTGCTGGATGCCTTTGATCAAGCTTGGTTCCGACTGCAGAAGAAATCCGTCGACAAGCTTGTGGCGTGGGTGTTTGATGCGCTCAATGAGCATGCCGAGCACCCGTACCGCGTGAATGTGTTGGTGTTGGTGCTGGACCATACCATCGCGCAGAAGATTACGAGCATGAAGCAGATCATCGACACGTGGGTGTGTGATAAAAAATGTACCTACTTTTGCACCCGAATGTGGTTATGTCTAGTGCAGAATGTGCAATATCTTGCATCTCGTTGGTTCATCACAGCATTGTTTTCAGCTTGATTCGACGCTCACTAGGGCGGTCTATACTATGGGACACTTCGATCGTTTACATACAAGTATACGTACATATATCCAGTACATAACCTAGTCACTCAAAGCTACAATGGCGGTTACTTTTTCTACCATGCAGGAGGTCGTGTTCACACCTCATAGGCAACATATATGGCGAGAAATGAATGCCCTTCTCGTGAAACGTGTGCATCTCTGCCAAGTACATGAGCTCACCGTTATTCTGAGGTACGTCACGGGCCAACTGAGCCGGGCGGGGGACGAGATAGCCCAGCAGGAGCTGCACAAGTACTCACAGTCGCTTGTACAGGCACATGCGCACGCACAGGCCTACAGCTACGCCAACCACAGCGCGCAAGCCCCGACACACGCCAGCGTACTGAACGGGGCCCACAAGAAGAAGAACTTTTCAATCGATACTAGTATACATGATCGATTAGGTACGGATGCCAGGCAGCGAAGTGGGTCGCTTGGCCTGGTGCGAGTACATACAGATACGCCGCAGCCGAGCTCGAAGGTCGACAACGCCCGTAACCAGGGCAACGCGAGTACGCGCGCGGTCTCGCCGGCCTTCGCACCGAGCGGCTCGACTGCTGGTAAACTGGTGAATTGCAATGTGGCCGTGACACAAGCCATCCCGTTGATTAGGAAGATCATGCACAGCAGTGCGCTCGTGCCGCAGTACGTAGTGTTCCACGAAGCGTTCAAGATACGCAACAAGCAGCACTGGCGCGTGCGCCAGCACGTGGATCGGCTCCTGTTCCAGTTCCAGTCTCTGGCGAACATGCTCAGGCCGATCGGGTGGTACCATCCCGCTGTACGGCCGGTTTTGTGCCTGACGACGAACATGGCGGGGTGGCGGGTGTTTGGACCGGACAGCTGTCTGTTCCCCATGGTTGGCAAGCTGTTGAATATGGCATCGGAGATGATGGATAGTAAGGAGAGCGAGGTCATGACCCAGTTCTTGAGCGATGTGCTGATGCAGTACACGTCCACCATAGGGCTGAGGGAATACTTGCGCGGTATGGATCATTTTAAAATCAAGACCGATTCCTTCTTCCAGACGGCCCTTGCAGAGATGGTGATATCTGTGCTGCGAATCGAGCATTCTCAGGTAGACTGGTATTGTGTTTGGCGCGTGCTCAATTGTAAAGTAGATGTAAGGTGTATCGTGTGTTTTCGTGTTGATATTCTATTGACAGTTGATATGAGCACGCTTTTCTGGATGCAAAGTAATGACAAAGCAGCAATCTGATAATATAGCGTAGGTGGTCAGCTATATTTCCGATATTGCGATTCGCACGAATGTGTATTGTCAGCTACCTTCTCGGCTTAGTGGAACTCGTGAGTATGTGCAGTGGTGTGTCTGTAGTTTTTTCGCAGAGGGAAAATACCGAAGACTTCACCGGTTGTAAAGGGGCATTTCCGCTGAAGCATTGATCTCCCGCGAATATGAATCAGCATACTCTTATGCAGCACAAAAGAATGAATTACCGGCTGTTGGATAGTGGGTGATCACTTGTTGTTTGGGCGCGTACTCCATCCAGTACCAACGTTGTCATTTCTCCTGGCCAATGAGACACTCTGTTTTATATCAAATTTCAAAGTTGAATCTCGGACCCATATTCCCAGAAATCAGCACGACTGCGGAACGCAGGGAGTGCGGAGAATGTCGTAAAAAATGGTCAGGCGATAGAGGATGTGGCGAGAGGTGCAGATAACTATACTGCCGTAGATGTCGATACCGAGTGGCATTTGTTGGCGTCTCATTTCTTTGCACTGTTACGGGTGGATGAAGTGGATCTGGAGATGGTGATTCGGACTGTCCACACAAAGATACGTGCTATTTGGGGTGATGAGTTCAGAAGCAATCGGGTGGTATGGCTGATACACCAATGTGCTTTCAGGTATGCGAGCACATGGTTTTTGCTTCGCAGGCGTACCCTTTCTATTGTGACTTTTCCTTTCCGCCGTTTACATTTAACTCCGGTGCTCAGAATCGATATTATATCACGTGCTGTTCAGATTGTACTGCCGCTTGGTTTACTACGTATTTACAACCCCATTCGCTCATTATTTTCGCACTAGTCGTCATTGTTACGCAATGTATGTATCTTCCGTCCAATTTCGAGTTTTGCTTCCATCTGCTCTCCTTATTCTGTAGCGAGGAGCTCAAAAATAAATTCAAAGACTCGTACACGCGCGTCATTGAACCAGCGCTGTCAATGAACAAGACCGCTGGCCAAGCCCTGGCGCCAAAGTCGTCATTGTACGATCTTCTATTCTCGCTATACGACTCGGAGGCGACCAATGCCAATACCGTGGAGGGTGATAAGTGGGATATCCAGGATCTTTCGATTGAGTTTCTGCTGCGAAGGCTTTTTCCATCGGAGTCAGGTGAGACCGGCACGGGTTTTGATAATCGGTAGAGAGTGCACGGAATGGCCTGGATTACTTCAGATTGTATATATATATATATATGTTATATATATATATTTATATTATATATATATATATATATCTATATCTATTATATAT